ACTCTATTTTCAAAAGTCGAAGCTTGTTTTCATCTAGCTATAACAGTAGTAGTGGATCTTGAGAAAAATTTGAAGGACAAAACAGTGGCCTCACAAAGTTCCATGTAGTATGGAAGAACGGTTGTAGAAGAGGTCAAACAGGCACTCAGGACAGGGACCACTGAGAGCATGACAATGCTGTAAAAGCATCAGCACTGTTGTTTGTATTGATTTTGGTTATTGACTGTGCAGCTGAAAGTGTATACTATAATGTAAAACACAAAATACTAAAAGGAAATCACTTACACTAAGGAAATCACATGTACTAAGTATATTGCCAGAGGAAGTAGCATAAATTCAGAGGCAGGGTATGAATTGCAATTGCTGAAAGGTCTAAAAGTATTTTATATCCTAGCTGTGTTCTAGATAGGATTCTTCCTCCAAATTATTTTCAAAAACAAACAAGAGATATTTCCTCATCTGAGCAAGTTACCTACTCGGTTTAGTTAGGTACACAGAGAGCATAACTTGTGTTGCTATTTTGACACATTGCCTGAAGGTTTTCTTCTAAAAATGTTATGTTTTTAGGAGCCAGAAGATGTTTTGGGACATATGTCTAATGTAAAGTATTTCCACCTACAAGAACCCAAAGTTCATTATAAAATTAAAGCTAAGACCTTTTTAGACTGATTTAAAATATAATTTAAAAATGTATTAAGCTACTAGAGTCACTGAGACAGCTAACTTTTGTAATGTATTCTTTAGTCACAATAATCATATACAAAAGGACCAGAAAAGAAAATTAAACAACCATTTTTTTTCCACTAATAAAATGGAAAGACAGACAGTTGGTGAGGTGCAATGTGCAGGAAGTTAGACAGTCCATTCTGACCTTAAGTTCTACAGGTGTTCTCCATGCTACACTTTCACATTTTTTTATTCAGAAATAACAGCCAGAGCTGAGTAACATCCAACAACAACAAAATCCACAAATAGTCTAGTAGCACCTTAAAGACTAACAAAACATGTAGATGGTATCATGAGCTTTCATGGGCACAACCCACTCGGGTACCCCTCTGAAGCTATCCAACAACAAATCTCAGAAGCACAGAACTATTTGCCTCTTCTGGAAGAATTACATCATGTTATTCTGTAAGAAAAATGTCTATCTTGAGTTCTATTGCTGCCCACTATTACTATTCAAATCAACACTCCCTCTTAGGCAAAACCAAATGACTATTTATTTTGCCACATAAAAATAAGATGTAGTCTCCCAGGTACAGTGTTAGAGGGAAAAGGAAGGTAACTAACTATTCAGACATTAATTTTAGAACAATACTTTGCTATTATATTCTGTCATTATATGAATGATTAAGACAGAACCAAAGAAAATGTATTAAACAAATCCTCTAGTCAAACATGCCATCTTGCAATCCTGCAGCCTTGTTTGTCTGAATTATCCATATTCACACAATTAGACTACAGGACTGCGGAAGGAGTCATGGTTACAAGATCAGGCCTTTAATTGTCTGAATAAGTAAAGGAAATCATGACACTCTCTACTAATCTGTAGTATATATACTAGCTCCGCTGATTGTCTGGCAATCACATCATTTCATGGATTTGATAGTACATTCCCCCCCTTCTTTTTCTTCCATTTTCTGCAAATTAAAAAATGTTCATGTCTCCTGTCTGTGATATATTATGAGATAGTTTATGTCTTTAGGCACAGATTTCATCAATGGATAATAATTAAACTGTCCAAGGTAGTCCTAATAGGCATTTGGCCTCACATGCTGATTGGAGCCATAATTTCATTGCTGCTTGTCCCCAGCTCCTGAGGAAGTAGTAGTTGGCTGCTAGTAGAAGCCATGAATAAAAAAACAATACCCATCATTGGACTCATGTATGGTGATGCAAAACCAAGACTCTCACCATTCCCCACCGCTGATCTTTCTTTCCCCTCCCCTAAATCTGCTTGATGGTAGGATAAATAGGATTATGGAAGTACTTTTACCTGTACACCTGGCCCCAAGATGTGGGTAGTCTGTGCAGAAGTTTAAGGGGTGCTACTAAATCCCTTTTACTCCCTCAGGAAGGGGAAGAGGCAGGGTGGAGTGGGTACTGAGGGATCTTATATCAGTTGTAAAAATTAAAGTTGCTCCCCTACAGCTGTAACTTGTTCTGAGAGCAGGCAGCTGAGAATCATGGTGCCTTCCCTTTCTATAGGATATTAGAGAATCAAACATAATACATGTATAAGAGTGGTAAAATATGGCCAAATAAGTTGGTTGGGGGTGCTAGACAGTTGCTGGTATGAAAGAACATATAAAGGTGGTGATTAATGTGCAAAATGTTTTGTGCCAGACAATTAAGCACACAATCATTGTGTTGATAATGAGAGGAAAAAAGTGACCAAATTGCTTCTAAAATATCAGAAAATCTTGATTGGTGAAGCAGCAGTAAATCAAATAAAACACCTATGATTCTACATCTCTATGCCACTAACCCAGGTTTCCAGAAAAATCCTATATAAAAACCTAGCTGAACAATTTACAGAAAGGAGAACCAAAAGTCATTGGCTCATACAATAACAAGGAAATATGAGATAGTCAAGCATATCTATTGCACATGGCCTACACTATGCCAAGAATTGCCTCTGTAAGATCAAATCAAAATACTTGACATCCATTTTTAATAAATGAGATCTACATTGCTAAGTGCATATGGGTTGAGATTCAGTATTCAAACTAATAAACTTTTACTACCTAGAAAGAAGTTACCAAGGGCACATCTACGCTACATGTAAGATCAGCACTGCTGTGGTCAATCTTCTGGGGTTTGATTTAGCAGATGTAGTTTAGATCCACTAGATAAAACTCAAAGGATGTCTCCTTTGATACCAGTACTCCCGCTCCCATCAGCCTCCTGCTGCGTTGGAGGAGCGGAAATGCAACGTAAGATACGTCGACTCCAGCTATATAGTTTATGTAGCTGGGGTTGTGTATCTTACTTCAACCTTTCCATGTAGTGCAGACCAGGCCCAAGGGCCACAAGTCCTAAGAAACCATAGCCTAAGCTTCATAACATTCATACCATTGCCATGTTAACAAAACATCAGTTTTCTTGCTCTGATAGGTAGTATAAGAGATGTCACCTTTAATTGTCTCTACTCAGCAATCACGCTTCCAAAACAGGAACTTAAAATGAGATCCTAAGGCCTAACGAGACAGAGGTAAAGGAAGAATTCCTTAGCTCATTCAAGTTTCCATAAACAAATATAATTCATTTGTCCTATACCACCTAGTAGTACGAAAAGCAAAAAATCAGTATTGCCAAGAAAGCTATCACTAGTTGCTGAACGAAATTTAAAATATAAGAGTAAAGGGATCATTTTCAAATGTATCATTTAAAAAAATTAAGCATCTTCTGCCCGATCTTTTTGTCCTGAATATTTTAATGATAAAATAACACCTCCCAGATACTTAAAATTCTCTAAAATCTTGTGCACTTGAAAATTAATGGTCATTTTTTGCAATTATTCTTAACTGGAATTTTCTCCTTGAGGATGGTCTGGCAAAAGTTATCCCACAGAACACTCCATGGATTGCATCTTTGAAAATGATTGCTGTTGCTTTTAATGAGTGTGACACTATGGCCAGTAAGGCACTCTTTTTCAGAATGACCACCATTGCTCCCAATGCCCTTGAGGGAGATTACAGGTCCTGACAACATAAGGACCTGCAAACTTCCCTTAGCACATCTTGGACTCACTCCTGCTAGGGAGAGTGGAAGACAGTGATCATTTTGAACGAGGATATCTGCTTATGAGTAGCACTGAGGGTCAAAATAGAAGGTAGTAGTCTTTTTGAAAGAGCAAGTTTTTTAATATTCTCCATAGAAAACTGTTGTTCATTAATTTCTGCTCAAAAAGTATCTCTCAGTTATGAAGAAGAACAAGAAAGAACATTAACTCAAACACCACTTAGTCATGATGCTAAGAGAGAGAAAAATGAAAAAGAATGTATCCTTAAAGTTTGTACAATCTTATCTAGGACCACAAACACTATTATGTACTAATCATAATCATATGATTGTTGCATAACATCAATATAGGAAGGCTATAAGATTGTTAAGGTAGCCTAATTGCATTTACAGACAAGAAAATATTTGGATTTCTTTTAAATTAAATATTGTAATTCTTGATTTTTTATTAGATACAACTTCACGATAGTGTTTTTACTCTTAAATAATGTGTATATATTCTCAATCTTAGTTCAATTTTAACATATTTTATCTGGATCTAATAAATAAAATATTTATAATGTAAGTGTCTATTACTATTAATAGAACTGCAGTTAGATATGTTTTCTAGTTACACATATGTAAATACATAGAGCACACAGGAAGGCATGCAAATCTATAATATTAAGAAGGTAAGTAAACCATATAATCTTTTTTGAGATGCCTATTTAACTAGAAAGTAATTCAATTTATTTTCTTATCATCAAATGTTTAGATAAATTAAGATATGCTCAAGTGATCACTCATATCTAAAATTACTATGAAAATAAGAGGTCCACAACCAGAATATATGGAATTGCATAATGGAAAAAATACAGAAATTCCACAATATCTTTGCATTCTGATTGGCCAAGACCAATCCATTTTAGTTAAAAGGTCCTAAAACCAAATTTTATAGCTGGACCCTTGTTCTAGCCTCTGACAGTGTAATGAAAGGTCAAAAGAATATTAAATGTATTGCAAGAACAGTATATTGAAAGTAATGTGTTTACATGGGCAATTGCAAGCTATTAGTAGGGAGTCTGAAGAGCCTCACTTCTGACACTTAAGAGCAATTTGACTTTAGACATGTCAGGTTTATAATTATATATATATATTCCACTCCTCGTGTTGTACATTTCACTTGTGAATTTGCCAACTGTAATGTGGATGACATTAACACGAGAACTATGTTAGTGTACTCTCCTCAGCTGTAGGTTTCATGGAAAAACTATTACCGTGAATTTTTTGTTGCAGTTATTTAAGGTGGTCCTTCTTTGACATGCATACTGGGAAACTCTGCCTGCAACAAATGATGAAGTTTCTAATTCAGGTGTATACGAAGTAGCAGGATAAGTCTGTTGTACCTGAAAAAAGAAGGGAGGGGAAAAAAACTTCTGAGTCTGTCAAATTGTCTGGAACACCAAAAATATGCTACCAGATCAACAGAAAAGTGAAATCGTCCATTAATTTCATTTGCAATACTTTAACTTAACATGTTCCTGGAAAAGAAATCACTTTCCTACAGTCTGCCAAGAAAACTGAGTCTGTGGCAATTATTTTGAGTGTTCAATTTCTGCAGAGACAGAGTTTTCTACTTGGTAGAGATTACTTGAAAACTATGGATCATTCAAATCAACCAACGCTGGATTACAGTGATATTGCAGAGAAGACAAATACTGTAATGGCAAGCCATTAAGCAATGGCTTAAATCAGCTTAGAGTCTAGTTGCTGCCATACATATATTTTTATTAACATTACTTTACACTTACCTATGATTTATGTCCAAGAATATCAAAACACTTTACATATAAAGTCAATGCTTGACCTGGAAAAATGTGATGGTTCTTCTTCTATCTCATGAAACTTTCCCCCACTTTTCCTCCTCCCTCCCCACCGCCTAATAGAAGCAAGAGATATAAAATACCTTCAGAGATCTCTCTGCCCCCATTAAAATATTAACAAGTAAATATTATTATCCTTAATTTCCAAAAGGGAAACAATTTAAACAATTTTCACACAATTGCATAACATGACAGTAGCAGAGTTGGAATAAAATATACACATTCACTGTAAACATGAAGGCCTTGGTTTTTGCTTAAAATTTAGTGGACATAGCTATCTTGCTGAAGGATATGAAAAATTCACATCCCTGTGCACTGTGTTATGCTTAAAAGAAGCATACAGGATCTTTTACAGAGGGAAAGGCAATACACAATGTTTATTGAAAATACAAAATGAAAAGCAGCATATGCATTCACACACACACACAGGGCAGATGGTAGTTACCAGTCTGTGGTGGCTCAAATCAGTCTTACTGGACAGGCAAGGTTGACTACGTGAGGAGTTGGGGTTCATCAGTCACAATCTGAGGCTCCTCTGAGGTTTGGCTTGCAGGACTGAACCTCAACTCCTCACTCAGTCAATCTTGCCTGGCTAGTAAGACTGAGGTGTACCGGTAGTTCGGAATAGGAATCCTAGTTCGAACATGTGTGAATGCATTTCATTTTGTGCTTTTCATTTTGTACTTCCAATAAACACAGCATATTGCCTTTCCCCCCTGTAAAAGATCCCATGTAACCATACCATTTTTGGTGGAGAATTACAGACGGGTGAGGGGAATATTGGTATATGTCTTGATTTCTTTGAACATGGTGAACACACCATTAAGGCTACGTCTACACTACAAGGCTATTTTGGGATACTTTTCGCACAAGAAGTCTTTTGCAGACGAGTTCTTGTGCAAACACACGTCCACACCTCAAAGCACAACGCAAAAGCGATGTGCTTTTGTGCAAGAGAGCATCCATACTGCATGGACGTTCTTGCGCAAGAAAGCTCTGATGGCCATTCGCACTCCAGAGAGAAAAAGCACAGGTGCTCTGATGGCCAGTCGCAGAATGGCCATCAGAGCACCTGTGCTTTTGCCGATAGGGATTTCTTGTGCAAAAACCCCTCTGGAGTGTCCACACCTGCCTTTTTGTGCAATACCTTTAGCACCAAAAGGAGTTATGCCTCGTAGAAGGAGGTTTACCTGCACCAGAAAAAGCCCTCTGTTCTGCCGTATTACTGCTGATTTACTTGCGCAAAAGTGCATTTGAGGTGCAGACGCTCTGCAGGTTTTTGCACAAAAACCTTGCAGGATAGACGTAGCCTGCTTGAGCCGCCATTTTTACCGAAAAACCTTGCAGTGCAGACATAGCCTAAGAAATTAAAAAAAAAAAAGAGAGAGAGAGAGAGACACCAGTAGTATAGCAAATTGACTCTTAGGTAACCTTTTTATTCAGGAATTCTTCTGGATTTATTGTTGGACTGTATGCTTTCATAGCCCTTTGCTGTTTTAAATGTGCTTGTGTGCATAGTAGGTGTCTGCACTGCGTGCCCTCATAGCCCTTTTTCTGTTTTTTGTTGCTTGTGGGCACGGTTTGTGTGCTGCTGTCTTTCTCTCTCTCAGCACATCAGGAATTAACTCTGCACGCTTCTATCCCTAGGTGGAGTTTCTGTGAGGTGAGGCAGGAATTCATACTGCTGTTAGATCCCTCATTGTTCTGCTTGTTTGTAAGTATTACAAGAGTTCACTCTGCGTGTGCCTATTCCTCTCGCTATTCTGCGTCATATATATGTTGTGTCTTTAAAATAAGGGTCCATACTGTATAAAAAAAACCCTACACAGAGAATTAGATGCTGCATGTGAAGGCCTCCTATGACCTATCTAAGGAATTTTGTTATAGTCAAAATATTGTGAGAAATTGGTTTTAACACAGGAATTATAAATGCCATGGATGTAGAGGTAATACAAAATAAGATAAACTCCCTATCACAATTTCAAGACAGCCTCATTCTGAAGCAGGCACATGCCAATATGGATTTGGAAAAGCCTGAAAGCTACATGGAATATGTGGCAGTGGCTAAACATTTCTAGCTGGCTGTTACATAAAATACAAATGGAATTAGGGGATAAAACTGCAATAGACAGAAATGCAAATCCTCAGCTTGGCAACACTTGAACATAAAATATATTGAGTGATATATGGAGATGTAATGGTATTAGCACATGCACTAAAATAAGGGAAAAGATCATTATTGAACACATATAGATACGAATGAATGCAGTATATATCTAACATGGTAAAACCTGACTTGTTAGTAAGGCTATGTCTAGACTGCAAGCCTCTTTCGAAAGAGAGCGTCTAGACTGCACGGAGAAATTTCGAAAAAGCGGCTTGCTTTTTCGAAAGAAAGCATCCAGTGAGTCTGGATGCTCTCTTTTGAAGAAGCCCTATTTACATTGAAGAACGCCTTCTTTCGAAAGAGGAACTTTCGAAAGAAGGCGTTCTTCCTCGTAAATTGAGGTTTACCGCCATCGAAAGAAAAGCCGCGTTCTTTCGAATTAATTTCGAAAGAACGCGGCTTGAGTCTGGACGCAGGGGAAGTTTTTTCAAAAAAAGGCTACTTTTTTCGAAAAAACCCCTGAGTCTGGACACAGCCTAAGTGAAATTGCTGTTAATTGCTCACCAACAGTCTGTGCAGACAGAGCTATGGAAGATAAGCCCACTCCCATAAATGACCGTGGGATCTTTTTGGCTACCTCAGGTTATAAATCAGTGGGCTGGGAAAGAAAATAAACTATTGGATACTCGGAGGAGCCCTCAGAAGTGGGTGTTACCACAGAACCATGTAGTATAAATATGTCACTGGGAACATATACATGGAATAAATTAAAAATATGTAACATGAGCTTTATATAATGAACAGTGTTAGTATGTATGTGTTACAAAATACTTCCTGGGAAAATGTAAAGATGGAAGAATGTAGATGCAATGCCAGTGTGCTGTATGTGAGCAACCACACTGACTTCTTACCAACATTAAAAAAAGTATGGAGAACAATGGCTACCAATTCAGTTAAGTTTTCTGTTAACTTTGTTTTGGACTGACATGATTTGACTAATCACTCACTTAAAGAAACACAGATAATTCAGTTTTTACAACAGACACAA